GACGTGTTCCTTTCTCCGTTGAAATCGAGACCGTCTCGCGGAGAGAAGGATTGCTTGCCGAGCGTTGGGATAAATCACCGAAAACGGAGCCGAGAAGGGAAACCTAATTGCGGTTAGGCCGGCCCGGTCGATCCTTGCGCACGTGTGAACGCCGAAACGGGAACGAGAGCGACTTCGCGTGGGATCGGCAGCGCGATAGAAAGTCGCCCGCTCGCGCGTTGCGCAAATTAAAAGAAAGAGAATCAGAAGAGTAACAGAAAGATTACAAGCAACGCCGAGACGTAATTTAATTAAGAGCGACGCCGTTATTCGAAAAGAGCAAGAGAGAGGGAGAGAGAGAGGAGAGGAGAAAGAGATAGAGCTAGAGGGAAAGAGAGGATGGCGTAACTCGCGCGAGAAGATTCGAAGCCGAGCGAGCCGATGCCGAAGGACGCGGCTCTCCAATTACGTGGATGCAATTAAAAACGTCTACGTTCTCGATCTGACAGTCCAACGGCTCTGTGATCGACGCGTTTCCGTTTAATCTCGATGCAATTAGGCTCGTCGACGGTACTCAGACTTTTGCTTACCCTCGGTAAGCTAATGTTTATCGCGAGAGGCTGTCGTTCAGCCGTTTTTTAAGATTACGTTGTACAATAAATATTATAGCTTGCGCAATATGCGCACTGTTAAATAGACTACTCGATCGAGGAAAAGGACTGTGTTCATTTTTAAAGAAATAATTCCTATTTACGTTCTCTTTACATTGCCAACGAAGCACGACTGCTTTGAATGATTTAATCGAAGAGTTACTATTTTTAATCATTTGATAGAAACTGTACGAGCAGGATTTAAAGTTAATGAAAAGTAATAAAAATATATTTCTCAGAGATTATCTATGAAAAAGTTAAATAAGGGGAGAAATGAATAAATATATCCTGATTTTTTGTTATTTATACCATAAAATTCGTACTCAAAGGATCAAACGTCCAAGAGTTAGAAAAGTCTGTTATCCTATTGTTTACAGACAGAATTTTCCTCTCGTTTAACGATACGATCATATTCTAAAGTGTACACTGCATGGTGACAAAACGATACTTCGGTAAAAATCATTTGTAGTAGTACAAGAAATATTAGAACCGATTATAATCTTTAATATTTATCGTTGGGTAAAAGATGTTATAATAACATTTGTCTCTAACAGTAGAAAATTATATAAACATTCGTTAATTCGTTCATTGTATTTATCCTCCTATACCGCGTTGCTTTCATTTCATGATCAATTCCAACAAAACGTACACACAGCTCTGAATCTAATTAATAGGCTGCGAAATTTTATGCAAAATAAAAATTGTCTACATCAATTGCACGAAATAGAAAACTATATAGAAAGTTCTTTTTTAGTTTAATAAGTTTAACAGATCATAACTAATACAGCGGCATTTTTTAAATTCTTTTAATCTCTCTACTATCTTAAATTGAAACAGCTCATTTCTGCCGCGAATGCGTAAAATCCGCGATCCACTAATTAACAATAATCGGAGTGCAAACTTTGTTTCTCTTCGCCAAGGTAAAATTGACTTCGCTCCAAAATCGTGGCCAGCGAACAATTGTCGACAGACAGGAAAGATCGGAATGTAATCCACAATCTGGTCTGTAAAACAGAGTACAAAATCGTGTAGGTCTGTGGCCGACAGGAGAATCATCGTTGCCAGAACGAAACCGACCGGTTGGCATTGTCTCGACGATAATCGTCGTCGTTGCACCGTCAAAGGGACGAGACCGAGACAGAGTCTGACAGCTCTATTCGACTCGCGTGGAAGATCGAACCGTGGAGAGAAGACGGACAAACGAAAGAAATAGGTCTCGAGGAGAAAGGTAGGCGCACGAAATTCCACTCGGATCGTGCCCAGCAGGCTAGAACCCCGGCAACCGGTTCGAGCAACAAGAGGAGAACGATCGGATCGTTCCCGGAAAAAGAGACGTCATCGGGCTCCATTCAATTACCATTTCCTCGGGAGGTCTGACTCGATAAGAGACAAGCTGGAACAACGATTCGTCCTCGGCGTTAAGTGCTCGGTCGGTTAGTCACCCTGTTTCGTTATTGACAAAACATTCTGTGTCGCGGTTGAATCATGCGTGATGCCCACGCACGATTTTCATACACATTGGCTTCACGTGCCGCTGTACCGCTTTACCGTCTCACGAGTTTAGACGCGAACATTTTCTTTTTTTTTCAGCCGCCATTTCGTTTACGTGCTTTCGAAGTCTTCGATATTAATTCTCTTATCGGTGTTCGGGCAGAATCGGTGCGAAAAATATTTGTGTATTTCATTATTGTACTTCTGTTATATTGTATTGTGTCACCGAAACTTTATATTATACTTTAATCGTTGTATTTCTGAACTGTTCTCAGTGGACAGTCAAATCGCACTTGGTAATACAGCAAATTCTCCCAAATTGTCCTTCAGCTTGTAAACGAATACGATTATTCAAGTCTCGCGGCTCGTTTTTATAGTTCTCGATCGTCAACAACTATAAAAACGAGGCTCCAGGCTCTCGAACAATCGTATCCCCTCTTGGCAAATTGTCCATTATTGTTTACAAGCTGAAGGACAATTGGGGAGAATTTACTGTGTGGTTGAGCCGCATAATGTTACAGCGAATTCCGAAGGAATTCGAGGATAAGAATCTTTCACGACAACGAAACGGAGTTCGTGAAAATCGTCTGCTGCGATCGAGGAGCAAGATCGAGCGAGAAGATCCCGATTTCCCTGAAGGAATCCGTCCGGTGGAAAGTAATCGGTCGCGAACTATAGCGCACGCGAGCACGGAACGCGTTTTTGCGACTGTCGAGGTCTCTTTACAGAAGAAACGACCCGTTCTCAAGCGATCGGGGAAAACGTCGAGCGTTTATCTTTCCCAACCGGTGATTTCCGAGGCCCGAAGGGGATCCCGGACGTTGGGACACGGTCTCCGCTGATACGGGTATCGGTGTTAGTATCGGAGATTTCTCGCGTCCTCCCAGGCGAAATCCGTCTTCTCCCCTTTTGGACAGATCTCGCCGTGCGAGCCAAGGAAAAGCCGGTCGGCCCGAAGAGAGACGCCGATTTCGCGGCGGAGAGGTTGCCTTCTCGCTCTTTCTCTATTTTTTTCGCTCTATCGCTCTCTCTTTTTCTCCATGCGAGGCTCCGCGGTTATATTCGCGAGGATGACATCAGTCGGGACGCGACGGAATTCGACGCCGATACCGTTACCGACGGATATTGGTCAAACAAGATATTCTGGACCTCCGCGTTCACGATCTCTCGCCTCTTCTTGTGCACAAAGTGGGCGGAGGTGTTTGGCGGTTCTTCGAGACAGGGACGCCGTGGAGCTTTTTTCTCCATAATTGTTCAACACTAGAACTATCGAGTCCTAAACACAACCAATATATAAGATTTTATAACAACGACAAGCTTCAATTTATATTTGAACCTCGTGTAATTTCTGTTATAATATATGCTTGAACGAAGATGTTTATCTAAAAATTGTTCGTAGAAACATTATTTTAGCATCAGAAATTGCAAAAGGGAAAAGCAGAAACCAGTCATTTTGACTGCTGTTAATTACGCGACTGAAATAGAAAGAGGTTTAATGTGTTTTCTTTAAAACAGAATCGTAACGGAGCTTCTGCTTTCACAATTATTTAATTGCACGTGTAAAATAGTCAGAGGTTTAATGTTTCTTCTTTAAGACGGAATCATTACGGAGCTTCAGCTTTCACAATTGTTTAATTATACGTACAACATAAACAAAGGTATGGAATTAATTGGATCGTTATTTATCTTTAGCAAATTTTTGCATTTTTGGTATTATTTGTGGTCAAGTAGCTTCAATTTTGTTGCTGAAACGTGGAATTATTCGATGCAGGTCAGCGAAGCAATAATGTTTTTGTTATTTATATCAAAAAAAGGATGTGAATAAATTTTGTAATTGAAGATCACAGATGCTGGGAACGAGGTCCGGGTTAAACGACGTAACAAATCAACAAAATTTAAATGGTATTTTTAAAAAATCACGCCAACAGGAATAAAAGCGAGAATCACGAAGAGCAACGTGCGAGAAGTCGCCAAGAAGAGGTTGTCCCTAACTCACTCTTCACACAACAACGACAATCTACCAAAACGATGTACCAAATCAACACAATCGACCCAATCACCTAATGACTCTGAAAGAGCTACGACAAGAAAGACGAAGAAGAGAATCATCGATAAGGAGAGCACGAACAAGCTTGAAGAGAGGTTGTCTCTAATTCGACGACAACAATCTGAAGAAATCATGTACCAAATCAACATACATAATCTAAATCAAATGATTCTTAAAAATTCGGTAAAGAGAAGCAAAGAAGAGGTTAGTCCCAACTTATTCCACATCTGGCAAAGAAAGTAATCTCGGCTTTGAAACAACAATTACGCGTGCCAACCCAATGTAAGGACGATCTACGAAATCGACGCAATTTAAATCCAATCGCTGAACGACTCTCAAACACGTGACCGAGAAAAGCGAAGAAGACACAATCACGAACGGAAAGGACACAAACAACCTTGAAGAAGTAGCAGGTCTCAATTTACCCGACAACGACATGAATCTACGAGAACGATGTACCAAATGAACGCAATCTAAATCCAATCTCCAAGTGATTTCCAAAATGCTGCCCCAGGAAGGCAAAGAAGAACGTCATCGATAAAGGGGACGCAAACAGCCACGGAAAAAGAGGTCGTCTCGTTCCCCGGAATAACATCGATTTAACAATACGATGCATGAAATTGACGCAATCTAGATCCGAAACCTGACCAAGAGATGAGAAAGAGGACCTTGAAGAAGGGGTTGGTCCCAATTCTCCCGTTATCAGCAGTCAACCGAAGCAACGTCAACCGAATGGACTCGAGCTAAATCTTTCACCGAACCAATTCGAGGACAATCTTAACGAGTAAAGCAACCCTAAGATCGGTGAAAAAGCATAAATCCTTCGGACTCACCATCATCGGTGGCCTGCGTCTGCAGGTCGAGTGCGGCGACCGCGACAGTCCCTGCCAGCAGACACAGTCCTGCGACCGCGCACAGAAAGCATCTTTCCTGGATGCGCATCCTACCGCATTCTTCTGCACGGTTTGCGAACGTTCACACACCTCTCCAGCGGAATCTGTCGCGAGAGAACTGTCACTTTGGGAGCACTCGCGCCGGAGAGCTCGACGCGTCGTCTGTCCACGTTCACCTTATCCAGGTGGATGTCCTGCGGACGTCGGTCGTCGTTGGTGACACACGCGCGACACACAAAACCGATCGATGGACGGGGTCGCTTAGACACGAACAGGCTCGACGACTACGGAGGTCGTAGGGTGGACCCGAAAACGGCGATCGATCGCTCCAGGAGGCAAACTCGTCCGTGGTGTACGCGATCCGTGCCGAGGCCGGAGGTGAAGTGCACCAGTGAGCGGGATTTACCTCCACCTCCTCCAGTTTCAGCTCGCCTTTCATTCCTCCTCTCCGGCCAGCCGGGAAATTCTCCTTCACGCTCACCTTGCTACGGGGCCCGACGCTGGACACTCTGCGCGCCCCGATCCATGGTGGGGGAACAACCAGGAGAGAGAGAGAGAGAGAGAGAGAGAGAGAGAGAGGGAGAGAGTAGGGCCGCACAGCTCCCACCATTCGCTCAGTTTTTCTACCGAGCGATACTGTCTTCGGTATTCCGTTTCATTAATCTGTTTATGTCCCCTTTTTACTGCTACCTGCTCAATTACATCAGAGCTTAGCCTCCGATTTGTTGGCTACTCTCGTTGGACGAGTATCCTGCCCACAGCGCGACGCCGACGATTCGCGATTTTATGGCTTTATAGCGACAATTAATTTTCGAAAAGAATTTCAACGAAGCGCGAGTGCTGGTAAAACCGGTAAAAAGTTGCGTCTCACAAGTTTCTTTAAAACGAGAAAAACACTGCTCAGATACACACAGCGACGGAGTAACGAATTCGTAAATCTTTTAAAGAGTTTTTTTTATTGTTTTTTTTGTCATTCCAAGAAATAGCAAAATAAAAAAGGTAGCGTAGTCGTTGTCTAGAAAATTAGTCCCTCTGTCATCTAAAAAAAGATTCAAGCATTTGGACCAATTTTGAAAAAGTTATTCCGTTTGCAAAGCTGTCGACATACTTTCCGCGCCGAGTGCATCTAGGTTATCAAATGCTGATAGAAACAGATGATCCGATAGATCAGATGTATATGCATCGTTAATATTGTCACAACATTCTCAATAAATATCATCGAAAATCTAGAATTTCAAAACATCGGTAATGCTTTTGACTGTCGAGATTTCGATTTCGAACGATCTACAGACATTTGGAAAAGTATGGTTGTATAGTTAATATTATCGAAAATCCAGAACTCGAAACATCGACAATAATATAGATTACAGATCGTTGGGGGACACTTTCATAGTTTTCGATTTGAAAGCATCGTTAAAACAAAAATCGAGGTTTTCGATCGTTCGACTCTGACGATCAACGCGTATTCTCAATAAATTAAAACAGCGCGGTCGATATTATTAAACATCCAAAATCTCGGAGCATCGACGATATTATAGATCGGCAGAGAACACTTTTATAATTTCTCCAATTTAAAAGCGTCATTGAATACTCTCGCTACATCCAATTTGGCGTCGTTCGCAACGATACTAAATCCGCGGGCATAATAACGATAATCAAAAGCAGACACGCTGTTCTCTTTCTGGGATAGCTACTTTCATAAGCAGACGGTAAATCGTGCGCGTTCGTTGCATATGCAAACGTTCGGGGCGGAGGCAGTTTAATAAAATCAGCGACACTCTGGATTTGCATAAGCGCGTTGCAGTTCGCCTGCAACTAGCTGCAACTCGGTGCAACTCGGTGCAGCTTGACGCAGCCACGTCCTCGAGACTCGTTGTCATCTCTCCGCAGTTTCCAACCTCGGATTCCTGTCCCTGTTTTCCTTCGGAGATCGTCCTCCTCGGAGACGTTCCTCGGACGGAACTTGCTTTCCTCCGGGCCAGAAATGTTTTCCAGTTTAATTGCGCGTGCAATTCCGCGTGTCCTTCGCGGAACAACCGCTTTCGACCGCGATCCTCCCGAGCAATTTTCCCGCTGGCTCCGATATCAGGCTGTCCACAAGTCGGATCAAAGAATAAGCGACGCTGTCCGCGCGGCGAAAGCGGTGAAATTGAAAGTGGACGCTCTTGTCGTTCGTTTTCTTTTCTTCCACGAGTTTTCGCGATCCGCGATTAACGAGTTGACAGGTCATCGAAGAACAAGAACCAGCTCTCTCGCCTTCGGTTCGCGAAATTTTTGTCTTGGAAAATCGAAAGCAAAAGTCGTTAGCTCTCCAAAAGTCCGTATTTTTACAAGAGCGCCTTTTATTGGGAAACTAGCGTACACAGTTGTGTCTCTCTAATCGACGCTCGGATTGTGCACAAAAATGGACAATTTGGGAAGAGAAGATACGATTTTTAGAGCCTCGAGGCTCGTTTTTTATGGTTATCGATTGTCAACAACTATAAAAACCCAAATTGTCCATTTTTGTGCAGAATCTGAGCGTCAATTAGGGAGACATTACTGTATTTGGTAAAAATTAGAAACCTTAGTTTCGTTTAGTTAATTAGAAACGCTGTTCTTATATAGACAGATCTTAGCAAGCTCGAACGTTGGTGTAGTCGCGATACATTGGAACCTCCCGTATCCGAAATAACACGGAGTCAAAATTGTTCGGATAAAGGATTTTTCGGATAATTTATTCAAACGAAAACTTAATTTTTTGTTCGAAGGAGACTTTGCTTCTTCGAATAGAAACTTATATTGTCAACAAAGAGAGACTTCATAGATTTGAAAAAAATACCTAAATTCTTTATACAAAGAAAACAAGATCAACGATTTTGATTAAACAAACATCTTTCAGAGTTTCTACTATTTATTTAAAAACCGTTCATAAAAAAGATTGTCCAGTTTTGTGATTTTTAATCGGTCGAAATGACCGTCGAGTTTCAGAGAAGAGCCATGCTGCTAATGCATTCTCGTGGAAAGCTGTTTTAATGGGCGAACGCTATCGATGAGTTGTAGCTCATTGAAAGTCAGAGAGGGATTTATAAGTCATTGGGTTTTACTGTAGAAGCAATTGGTGACTCAAAAGGATTGAGAAACAGTGTCACAAATGAATTTCGGTTGGTCACCGGTGACGCAAAGGCGCCGACATATGAAAAGAACGCCGAGAGATTATATAAAGTTAATGTAATTCATTCGGTGTCCGAATATTTTTGCGACATTAAATATTGTCACAATCTTGTTTATCGCTGGTTATACAAAAGAACATGTGAAATAAATAAACAAAATTTATGTTTCTACTTACTTTAAGAAGTGCTTTATTATGTGAGAAAACAATTGATTCAATAATACCATCATAAACAATAAAAAGGAAAAGCAATAATTTTTCTAATAATATCGTGTCCGAATATTAATGCGAGTCACTGCAGAAGATCACCATACAATAAACCGCTCATTAACGAGAACTCTTAAGAAAAAAATCAATTATCGACTATTCCCACAAGCCTGGCGAAAATAAATCTAATTCCTCCATCTTATCTTTTCCCATTGGACGCGCACGTATGCACACTGTTGCAACAGCACAGCCGATCTCGACGAAAAATCAAATTTCCTTAATGCAGTTTGCACAGGATCGGATTGAAGAAGAGTTTCACCGCGTCTCTTAACGATCGTTCGTGAATTCAAAGTATCGATGCGGCAAGGATAACGCGGAACGCTGTCGCGGTTCATAATTCCGCAGTGCTTCTCACAGTCTCGTCCGCGATAAAAGTCCGCCTAGCAGTTCGCTCGCAACAATTTCAGCCGGAGATCATTCAGCTATTCTCTCCTCGGCTACTTTTTCTTTAACGATCTAATTAGCACACAATTGTTCCGTCCGCGATGCAACAGCGTTGCCTTGAATTACATTCCGGCGCGGCGTAATAATCCGCGGTGTTAATTCCGAATGCATTATTCCGTTTCGCCGATCCTCAACCGAGAGAAACCTTTTTTAATCGATCTTCTCTTTATGGAGGATCACATTGACGCGTTCAACGGTCCGTAAATAGAATTACGTTGTCTCCGGATCGGTTGATGGATCGCTCTAAGTATGTAGTGCGTAATCAATATGCTAATGGGGGGGAATTGCTTGCTCCTCGTTCAAATAAAGGTCAATTGCACTTTCGAGAAAGGTCATTATTCGGTTGAGGATCTTCGCGCGTGTTTACCTTGAACAAACTCCTCGAAAGCGCACGAATTAAATGTTCCGAGAAATTAAGGAAGACCGTGTTCCGATGAATCAGAGCTGATCCTGCTTTGGGGGTTTCCCGCAGGAAGTACTCGGAATCTTTTTCAGGCGTGTTGCAATCTTGTTCTTCCAATCATCCTGCAGCCTTAAGATCTGCATAGAAATTACATTTTATTTAGATTTCTACGGGAAGCATAGAATGAATGAAACAGTAAAACTTTCAGCTCAACGGATACTCATCGAACCATGGTCTGCTACATTTATTCGATTTATTAGTTCGTGGATTCGATGGATTCATGGCAAAAATGAGTAGGTGGAGATTAACAACGAACCAGGGGAGATTAGAAGAATTTTGGAGCACCGTTACGAGATGCTTGTTTCTGGCGTATGCACGTTATATTAGATGAAGAAATACATTTTTGTCCGGTCTTTGTTTTTCACCATTGACATACAAACATTTTACTTTGCATAAAGGCCCGCAGTCTATTGGTCGGAACGGCTGGTTGAAGCCGGTCCAGTTAAATCGGCAAGAAATGGCTCACAAATGTGTGCGAGCGAACACGATTTTTATGAAGGATGCTTCGGTAAAGATCGTAGAACGCGGTTGCCCAACAATGAAAAAGTGGCAGGCAGCGATCGTGGCTCGTCTAGAAAGATTAATCGATTTTCTAGCTTGGAGAACGTCGAATCCAGTTCAGCATGACATAAGACACTGACACAAACGAGTCCGGATTATCAAGAAGGCGAGGCGCACGGTCGCACACACGTGCGCCAACGCACCTCGTCAGAACCAGTCGGTTTTCATCCGTAAAAGAATTCCCCGTCCAAAAGTAGCTATTGTCGGTGTAAGATCTCTGCTCCGCTAATTAGACTGCGATTAGGAATACGCTCTTTTGCGTCGCATGACCCAATAATCCGATAATGGCCGACGCACGACGCTCGAGAAGCGGCTGCTTGACTTTGCAAAAGCGGAGGCGTGTCGTCACCCTGACCCACTGGCGCTTTCTCCAGGAGAAGGTTTGCACGCCCTGTTGTCGCAACCGATCCCGAGTCGAACAAAGAGATCGGGCATTTAATGTTTGCGTCCCGAGCATAAGCGGCGTGACAAAATTTCTCGGACCGTCTCTCGCCGACTGCGCGCATCGGATTTGCGGCGTTAAATTAGAGGGAGAATTAAACAATTTTTCAAGACGCGGTTCTACAATTCCTTAAAAATTGAACGTATACATCCCGTTGTACGTTGTTTTCTTAATAGTTGTTGTAAATTTAAGTCCTTAAGTCTGTCGAAGGAACAAAGAGGCTGATATTTAAACGAAACCCGTTTTGTCGACCGAACGCATCGACTTCAAGTTGTTAACTGAGAAGTAGACTTAAATAATTTTTCTAGACGTAGAATTATCGTTTATCAAAAAGTCAACTTATAGATCTTGTTGTGCATTGTTTCCTTAGTAATTACTGCAAATTTGAGCCTCGCATCTAACGATGAAGCAAAATGGCTGATATTTAACTCGTTTTGTCGACTGAACGCATCGACTATTAGCTGCTGAATAAAACTGAGAATTAAATAATTTTTTCAGTAACTGTTGAATATTTGAGACCTGCATCTTCTTCGATTTTTTCTTCTCAGCGTTTTTAATTTCGGCCAACGGATCGATTCGCGTTTGGACCGGTTTAGAATGACAGCATTCGGATCGAGGCAGAAATTTTCGCCCACGAATACGGTAATTGCGCGAAATTCCCGGGCCGTGTCGGGGTCATGGCAATTATCGTTGCCCCGTGAATTTACGCGCGACGCCGTCGTTAATGACGCAATTACTGCCGCCGAATTACGCTCGATTTATTTAACGGCTGGCGAACAGCTGTTTGTCAGCCGGTCGATCGTCCATTGCCACGCGCTCGCAATTTCTCTGTGGCCGTTTTTATATAGGACCATTAAAACGATGCATTCGCACGGTGTACCTGCTACAGGATTCATTCTCAATTCCACGCTTTCGATTTTTCTTCGATTATTCCCCTATCGCAAAAATGTCGTCGGCACGATACGATTATCGGAATTTCACCGATCGGCCGATGTCTGCATTCCGCGCGAATTTCCGATAGAAACTGGCCGAACGTTCGTTGACCTTGAAAAGATCGACGTTATCTTATCGGTTATGTCCGACACAATTTTAAAAAATTCATCTCTATGAATGAAAGGAGTAATCGATATTAGTCCTGCAATTTTGGTTTCGCAAGCTAAATAACTTTGATTATGTGTGTTTTTTTTTAGTTACTTTGCAATAAAATTAATTTCTAATTTCTGTCGGATCAATGGGATCATCGAGGACAGGCAACACGGGTCACGATCTAACGATCTCATTTTATCGAGTTGTTCGGAAAGTTGTTTCGTTCTTTCACGAGAAAATGAAATACGATTTTCTAATGTTTAAAGAAAAAAAAGGTTTATAACATTTCTCTGGTAGCTTTGAAAAACAACTTTCCAAGCGACCTTCTGGTTAACAACATTTTTCTTCGAATTAAGTAACCAATTTTCCTTTCTCTAGGAATAATAAGGCACTTTATTTTTTTTACACAATTTAATATTTTAGCAAACGATGTCTATGCTCGAGCAATAAGCAGTCTATAAAAATGCCAATTTCGCAATGTATCAATGCCTGTAACTATTTTAGAAGAATACCTTTTGTTTCCAATCGATACAAAATTTATCATTTATGTTCAATTTAATGTAGAATTTTGCTAGTTTCGTTAGAATTTAGCTGTTTACGAGATGGAAACGTCGGCACAGTTCTTGAAGGTTTCCTGAGGACCACAGCCCACTTTCGAGGTGCCATCGCTGCACTCTCCCCAATTGTTGCCGGTTATGTAGGTCCACCTGATCACGCATTGTTCACAGGTGACATCTTCGGGAAGGCGAACTGGCACGTTGAACTCGTACTGACCCTGCGAGACTTCTTGCTCGTAGGTGCCATCAGCCAGCTGAAGAGGATGCTCGTTGAAGCAGTCCTCGGACTCCAGGTGCTCCGGCGACGGAAGGCGGCACATGTGGAAGGTGAATTTTCCCATGTGGTTCGCGGTCAACTTTACGTTCACGTTGATCGTCTCGCCGTGGTTGTACCTGCCGTATTATTACCTTTGCAGCGATTGTTTCAATTTCAACAGAACTAGGTCTAATTCGACCCGGTTATGATAATAATCTTGGCATTCTGCAGGGATGAACATTTTTCAAATTTTGCGGTTTGGATTTCGGCGATTCGATCGCTGCGCAAGATCACAATTTTCTCGAGATAGCGATACATGAAATTGAAGTCTATAGGAAATCAATTTATCGTCCTTTACACCTTTTACACCTTTTAAAACGGAATAACTTTCTTATGATCGGGCCTAAACATGCGGTTTAAACCTTTTTTGGGATGATAGAGAAATTGGTCTAGTCGGAAATGACTAAAAAATTCTTCTGAGAAACTGCAATTTGGCGGCATGGTGAAAGAATTAAAAAATTATATTTTTCTAATTTTTTTTATTTGAGCCTGTAACGAAAATTTAAAACATTTATTTTGAAGATCTCGGTTGACCCTGATGTGAGCTGTAAGCAATCAAAGATCGCGAATACTACAGTTTTTCACGAATTTCAACCAAAAGCAGGTAATTTTGATAGCTTTCAGCTTTCATCTGTAGCTTGACTATGCGTCGACCGATTTTGATGAAATTTCCAGCATGCATATAAGTTAACGAGATCTACAAGATGCATGTTTTAAATTTTCGTTATAGGCTCGGATAAAAAGGTTGAAAAAACATCATTTTTTCATTCCATTTTCATGCCAACAAATTGCAATTTTTGAAAATAATTTTGCTCCACGAAGGCACTGTGATTGAAAACGATCGAGCACTCTATTTAAATTAAGTGAAACGAATTAGCTGTCGAAACGATCCTTACCTTTCCACGATCACGCCTGTTCCATAAACGCCGCGGTTCTCATTGGGCCTGGGTTGATGAATGGCATAGTTGTCGCCACAAAGACCGCAACGTCCACCGTTTTGATTCCACATAACCTGCAATAGATGGTTGAATGGTTAGAAGAGCGACGCCATTGTTCGGAGACTGCCCCTTTCTCTGGCTCTCGTTCCGACAACCGTGTATTTCTTGTTGCGATCTCCGGGCGCTCGGTGAGACACCAAAACGTTAAATAATCACGTTCAAAGTGTGTTTACATAAAATTAAATTAATTAATCTTGACATAAAACAGACATAGTCTTTACCAATTATTAAAACTAGATAGAAGAGTTGTCTAGTTGTCAGTCCGAGGACAGACGATCTTTAGGATTTTTTTCTGGTTAACGGAACGGACTTATTTTTCAAACAAGTAGATTATTCAAAATAGCATAGATAGCACAACTAGAAGTAATTTTTTCACTGCGAAATCTTAAAAGGTGCCCGAGCAATGGCAGCTAATCCAGGTCTCTTATTTATTCCACTAATAATACTTTCACATTCTTCGAGTCTTTTAGCCTTTCTTCTGCTTCAGACTTTTCACTAATTGTCCTCATAAATGCATAAAATTCGCAATCTAGCGATTGCTCCGCTCCAATTAATGCTTGACGTTAATAATTACTACTTCGATAGAATTTACTCGAGTTTAACGTCGAAATGGATGGCGTCTCGTGTTCGGTAACGTATCGATGAATAAGTTAGCGATCGGTAGACTGCCGATTTTATTGATTTATGGCAAAAATATTTATGACACAGATTTATGGCATAGAAACCAGTGAAGATTCTAGAAGAATTTAAACGAAGAAACACATTTTTATCCAATTTCTGTTACCGACAGTTGACATAGAAACGTTCGATTTTACACACAAAGTTCGGCAGTCCAGCCATCAGTTTCAGATTCTTACGTCGTATCCTCCGCAGAACAGACTATTGTCGTTGTAGTTCGGCTCAACGGGGAACCCTTTCCTCCAAGCGCTGCTCCTGGACACGGGGTCCATCATCATCCCATGGCCGTAGACCTCCAGCAGCTGGACAGCCAGCAGTCCGGTGACCAGCAGAATTTGCGTAAATGCCATGACGAACGAATTACGAGCGATCGTACAATTAGCGATTCGGATACTATTACCAATGGGCAACCGTGATTTATCCCGCGGTTATATATATATATAGATATATCGTATAAGACTAGGATCCACAATTGGACGAAGATTAGCAGAGTGTTTGTTTTTATAAATTATTATGTACTCGTCGGAGACTTATCGTTCCATACCCGATAACGCCGCTTATCTTGGAATCTGTACGGCAATCTGTGATAATCAGAGATTGCTTAAATGACCATAAATCTAGCCGTTCAGAACGCTCGCGGAAGAAAACGTGAATTTAGGAGCGTGACGCAAATTATGGCGATAGATGTGCCGAAAATGAGATAAGGGAACATCGAGTTGACGTCGATCGATTCGTATGAAACTTGTATTTTTCAGATCTAATCTTTGAACGCTGAGACGTATTATACTTTTGAGGCAACGTAATTTTTATTTTTGGACTGTAGAGTTTTAATGCGTAGCAGGCAAGGGACATTGATTTTTCGCAGTGTAGAACGTATTACTTATCAAACAGGGTGTCCAAAAATTATGGTATTTCCGGAAAATGTGGGGTTCCTGAGATCATTCGAAGTAACTTTCTCCTCGACAAAAATGATCTCCGAGGCATCCTTCGCAAGTTATTAAAGACAAACACAGACCAATGAGAAGCGAGCACGGCTAGCGCGAGGCGGCCGAGCCAACGAGCGCACGGAGCCCTGTTCCGTTCATTGGCTCGGCCGCCACGCGCCAGCCGATCCCGCCTCTCATTGGTCACTGTTTTTCGTTAATAACTCGCGAACGGAGCCGCGGATCGCATTTTCGCTAAGGAAAAAGTTACTTCAAATGATCTCATGAACCTCCGAGTTCCCGGAAATACAATAATTTTAGGACACCCTATGTATACTATTATTGTTATTATTATTATATATTCTCCCTAATCGACGCTCAGATTATGCACAAAAATGGACAATTTGGAAAGAGGAGATGCGATTATTCGAGCTTTGTTATAAATACTGCTATAAATATATTATAAAATATAAAATATAACTATAAAAACGAGTCGGAAGGTTCGAATAATCGTATCTTCTCTTCGCAAATTGTCCATTTTTCTGTACAATTAATTATGGATAATTTGTATTTATTCCGTATCGATTTATACTGAATCGACTATAATGTCTAAGATCCGTAAGGGGTAGGATAAGAAACGTACGTATAATATTCAATGGATTAATTCTAGAATATCAAAGACACAGTTTGTTTGTATCGGGCTTTGTAGGAGAACGGAGATTTTGTTTGTTTGGGACGTGATTAAGTTGTAATGGTAACTTTTATGAGTTTTATATAACAGATTCGCAAACATAGTTTTCAGTAGTTTGGCCTTGCCGAATTCGAGTGCGTGGTCTGTTTCGTGTTTGCGTTGATTTGCATAAGCATGCCATGTTGATCGACGGTCTGGATCGTGAAATGATAAAGGTAAAAATCAGTGCACGTGTTTTTGTGCTTTATAAAAGTGTTCGAGTAGCCTTGAACGACAAGTTTAATAATGAATTTATCAAAAAGTTGAGAGTACCGTATGATTTTCTCATGGCTCTTTATTCAAATTTTATTATTTTTATCTAAATTTCGCACAAAGTGTGATTAATTTGAAATTAGGTTTCCAGTTAAAAAAAGAAAAGAACAGAAAGATGTAGGTCAAAATCTGAATAAGCAGATTCTCTTTATCAAATTTCAATCGATACGATTCCAAGATTCTTTCGTGACATCACGTATCAATAATCCATATCGGGAATGCTCGACAATAAGAGCTTGTTATTAAATATTTTACCGCGGTGGACTATGTTCTAATTTTTACGCAAAATCCAATCATTCGTTATTATCTATTTTATTATAAACCATTCGAAACTCATTTATCACCGCTCCACTCTATTTCCGTTGAAAAAAAAGTTATTATCAGCCGTCGACTAACCGTGTATTATCGCTCTCGTGCTGTCAGCCTTGTAGTTTCCACTTGTTCCGAGTAATTACAAAATTCATATCCTCTTCGTTTCTTTCTGTTCGTCGAGCAATTGTTTCTATAATAATTACGATCTCTTATCACAGATTGATCGAACAAAGTTCTGACGGTAAAGATTTAAAAATCTTGTTATCAAAACCACGGATTAAAAGGTGCTTCACATTTGAATCTGTACTATTTATTTTCTACCAAAACATTCGGTAAGTTACAAAAAATAGGACACTCAAGTATCGAGGACATTACGAAGCTAAAACAGACTTTGTTTCAACTCTGTAAAACAGACTCTAAAAAAAATCGACCATCTCGAAAGACTATTTTGCCTAACAGCGTATTAAATTTTTAAGACGGATAGCGAAAGAAAGGTTTTCGTAAGATGCGGCAATGAAAGATCCCGATAAAATTCTCAGTGAAACGAATGATGTTGATATCTTGGTATCGCCTGAAACAGTAATCGTTTCGATGGTACACGGGATCGGGATGGAATCGGCTGTCGGGAATTAGGTTCGCGGGGGCAGAATGAAATGCAAGGAACAGATCGAACGTACATCGTACGACATTTATTCTCTCGTTTCCCTTAAATCGACATCCTACGGTACGGGTAGATACAGAGGATCCTATAAAGGTACACGAATTTCCATGAACCCGGAAAATTCGAGGACATACACCGTCGTACCCCTCGCGTATCTCTTCTATTCTACGCTGTTCTGTGCGTGTACAACTGCGTGTGCGTGTGTTTGCGTATCCATGCCGTCCCATACTCCACCCCTCCACACGTCGCCAGCACCCGAGAAGCGCGAAAATGAAAAACCGAATGGCAAACGATCTTGAAAGCGGTGTTCACCTCGGTGACAAACACTTAAACGCCACGATCTAATTCGTCTCTGCTACGATCGTTGATCCGCGATCGAACTACAAACCAATGGGAAAACGATAAACCGACGGCCGATTCGCCCGGAAATCGGGAGAACATTTCTGAAATAAACATTTCATTTACAGCCGGTCGACTCTCGGAGCAAGATCCAACAAGTTCATCGGCGCCTCCTTCGAATATCTCTCTTATTTTACAGCGGACGACGCGTTGGAACCGTGATAATCGACACGCGAGCCATTCTCACTTTCCCTCATTGGCAACCATTCCTCCGCTTCGGTGTATCTAAGCGATCGCTATTGTCGTTGTTGTTCGCTGTGCATCTACGCTTTTTTAGTTTATACACTCTTCCGCCTCGCCGCGGTCTTCGAACTACGTTAAACTACAGTCGGCGACGCAAACGTATGTGGACACCTTTCGAAATAACTTCTCGAAAAGTGGACTTTTACCGAGATTTACAAAACGATTGGAATTTTATCGAGACGAAAAAGGGCCGATTTGTTATGCAGGGTGTACATCGTAACGGTCGCCGTTATTACTATTCGATTACGAATTAAGTTTACGTTTCCTTAACGCGTAGGAAACTTAGTTTCCTAGTTATCGCCAATTTATAAGCTCAAGGTCATCCGAAGGTTATCGTATGGTGAACCACTGAATTCATTTTCTCATCAGCTGTAACAATATGGAGTTAAAAATACATGGTGCCGTTTAAAAAAGTCAAGATGACCTTAGTTTTTAATCGAATAACAAAATTTTGCGCAATTTTTATCAATGCACTTTATTCCCGGGAAAGTACTGAATAACTTTTATTCGAAAGATTTTTTTGTTAGATTGGCCCAAATGCCTACAAAATCGTGGCGACCGTTACGGTGAACACCCTGTATAATGGATAACAATACTTTTGCCAACGTTGCAATCGGGTGGAGGGACGAAAAGAATGTTTTTGAATTTTTCTTTTTTATCCGAACATATAACGGAAGCTTAACATTCATAGCACCGAACAACGATATACCGTTTGCTGGTTTACATTTGAAAACTAGTTTTTCCAACATCTTAAACAAATCTAACTGGTTCGGTCCAATTTCGAAAGAGCTATTTCATTTGAAAATGTGTCCGCATACATTTGTCCATGACTATATGTGTTTAACACTGGAACTAGCGACCACTAAAAGAGACTTATAAAATAACAGGAGCGCATTTGTCAGGACATTGCACAATTTTCATCACAAAATGGACCTGAATAAGTAATTGTCCACAAAAGTATTTTTACGATTTCACGAGGAGAGTGCAAGGCTTCGGGGTCACCGATTTTATCGAAACTTTTACGCTTACAGTTACAGGGATAGACGGTCAATAGTTTTTTCTATGTATGTATTAAAGTTTCATTATTCGTTATTCAAATTCTGGACAAACGGTGCTCAAATTTCTTGAGTCCGCTACCCTCGCTATCAAGATTTCTTTGAAACAATGAAACTTTATTCGCAAATATCTAACAAGAACTATCAACTGCCTGTTCCTACAATGGCACTTATTCGGAAACAGGACAACGAGATCAACGAGAGTACAAAGTCTCGACAGAATCGGTGGGAACCCAAAGCCTTCTATCGAAGAATCTATTATTTCCACGGTTCTGATAGTTCTAGTGTTAAGTTACGCATTTAATGTAACTAAATCGTGCATTTAAGATAGTGTTGGTAAATAAAGAAGTCGTCTGTTAACCCTCGGAAATGGTTGCCCCGTAAAGATATCGATTTTTACATTTATTATTCAGCGGTTTTTCAAAATAGTATAAAATTTCAATCTTGCGGCGAAATTTCAAAGCTCTACTCAGAGGTCCGTACAGCGCCGATAAGTCCAGCGGCAAAACGCTGAAACTGCTAGCCAAAATCAACTGTTGGTAATTTGCCAATCGGTTTCAACGTTTTGCCACTACGTGGCGCTGAACTAAAATTCTAACGGAATTAGCATGATAACGCTATCCGAGTCGGAATAATAAACCTCGATGTTATCGCATGTGGATAATTTTGACGAACAGTTTGGCCGTTTCGTCCCTACGCGCATTGGGCGCGTATTGGAGCGTTTATTGGCGCATTTATATTTTCAGAAGCAGATGATTCGTGCCGGATTTTTACAGGATACAGATGCAGCAGATTCTTTTGAATATTTCTGCACCCTTGACATTTCTTGACCCCAAGACTGGCAAATTTTGTACTATTTTCCGCGCAAATACTTTTCTTACGGTAAGATCGTTTTGTAACGATAAAAAAAACTCGAATGCAGAAAATATGGTATTCTTTCAAAGCAATTTCCCCGAATTAAACAGTCTGCGATCGAAATTAATCGCAACGGACTCAGCCCCATCCGAGGGTTAACACCAATATTTCGATGGTTTCCTCGCGTACGCGCGAAATATTTTCAAATCTTGGCAGAACGATATAGAAAACGAAGGTTCAACGGAGAGTTAGTTACCGAATTACGCGATAAAGTTGAAGCATTCGTCAGGACGCTAACAGTTTGCCATTAGCATTTCGCAGCACAGGATTCTCGCAGTCGAATCCCGAAGAAAAAAAAAATATCGCCGCTGTATTTCTAGGGAAGGTTCGCCACGAACCGGCGAGAAATTACGATTCCTTTGAAAGGGCTCTTACATCGACTCCCTAAAAAGGCCGGTCAAGTCTGATTCTAGGCGTGCGTTCCCCTTTGACGCGATCGAATCCTCCAGCAAATCTGCCGCGATAGTCCGATTCCTCGAAGCCGTTCCTTCCGGGAAAAACAGCAATCCTTCTTCCCACGGAAGGCACTCCGATCTCGAGTGAGTCCTCTTTGAATCTTTCTCCGGCACTCCATCTTTCTCGGTTTCTCGGCAGAGTTTTCCAAGGATCGAGGAAGGAACTTAGGAACCGAGCGCTGCCCGTGAAAATCGATTCCGGGTTTTCGAGCTCGAATCGACGCGCCGGGAAAAGGGCTCTTTACCCGCGGCAAGTTGGTATTCGAATCTCGAGCAAACCGGAACGAAGGACCGTTTAGCTCGATCCTTTACGAGGGAAAATATGGCCGGGACGGGGGGAGGGGGGGGGGGCAGAAGGGGCGGGGACGACTCGGCTCTCGAATAGGAAAGAGGCTCTCGTACAAAAATACAGCCAACCCCACTCGGAATTCATCGGTGCCCGGTTCGCGTGTCACGCTCGACGCGGTTTCCATTCCGCGACGGACTTTCTCGAGGATCTAAAACGTCTGCGGTGATATTCTCTGTTGTCGCGGCCTTTGCGATCGGTCGACGCACAGCCATTGATCGAGCGACAATGTTTTTGGCAAGCTCGGAAATTTCCTAGCGAACGATCCATGCGACGTAGGATACGCGAAAGCCAACGGTCAAGCCTTGTAATTAGACTGCGGATCTCCTTGCGTTTTTATTAACAATATTCTAAGAATCGTTTGAAAATCAACGGTTGAAAATTCCTTCAAAAAACTGTTCAAAAGCGACAATAATTTCATTGGTAATTTAACAAATTCTTTCGATTAATTTAATACAACGTATCAAAAATAGCCAGATAGCAATAAAAATGAAAGTGCCAACGTCCGATCACTGGCACCGATCTAGACAAGGTCACTCATACATGACTGTATTTCAATCGACGGCAATTTCGATCCGCCAATGATTTAAAATTTCTCTTTGCAACAGGCTCGGAACCTCGATCTCTGCGTCCAATCGCTTCTGGATCCCGTCGGTTTCGTCCGATCGATGCAAGAGGACGATCAAGGGGATCGAATACAGGGTGTCTAAAAAGTGTCACGAAATCCAGAAACGGGAGGTTGGCGAGGTCATTCGAAGTAACTTTTTCCTTAGCGAAAATGCGATTCGCTGCTTTGTTCACGAGTTATTCGCAAAAGAACAGTGACCGATGAGAGACGAGATCGGCTCGGCGCACTCGTTGGCTCGGCCGTCTAGCGCCAACCGATCTCGCCTTCCATCTTGTCAGTGGTTTTCGTTAATAACTCGCGAACAAAGCCGCGGATTGCATTTTCGCCGAGGAAAAAGTTACTTCGAATCACCTCGGGAACCCACCGTTTCCGGATTACGAGAGAGTTTCGAGACACCCTGTAGATCGCGGCGAGATCCCGACGGCCGATCTGGATCTCGATCGACGCACAGCCGACGCGAAGAGGAATCGCGACGGTGTTCTGTCGCCGATCGGATTAGAAAATCGAGGGGAGGGTCGAGGCGCGGGTGTCACGGGGGTCGTTGGAAATTGCTCGGAGACGTCGCGACAGCCTACTGCCAAAGGTGACGGAGAACGGAGAACGGAGAACGGACTGGTACCACGTCGGGCTCGGATCGTCGGATGATCTACGAGGTTCTCTTTCCGAGCCTATTTCATCGGGATCGTTCGCCGATTCGTATCCAGCGGCTCGCCGTTGGGCGTCGCGACGCCCGACGATCCTCGTCGCTGCGACGACGTCGATGCGGTGTTCGTCGGCACCGTCGTCGTCTTCTCTGTGCCCGTCGCCGTCGTCGTCGATCTCTTCTGTGGAAAAGAAACACGGAAGATCCTCGGATCATTGTTCTGTGCGGCTGCATTGTTCTCTATGGAAATTTATTGTACAGTGGACAAAGGAAAGCCTCGGATCTTCGACTTGGCGGGACTNAAAAGTGTCACGAAATCCAGAAACGGGAGGTTGGCGAGGTCATTCGAAGTAACTTTTTCCTTAGCGAAAATGCGATTCGCTGCTTTGTTCACGAGTTATTCGCAAAAGAACAGTGACCGATGAGAGACGAGATCGGCTCGGCGCACTCGTTGGCTCGGCCGTCTAGCGCCAACCGATCTCGCCTTCCATCTTGTCAGTGGTTTTCGTTAATAACTCGCGAACAAAGCCGCGGATTGCATTTTCGCCGAGGAAAAAGTTACTTCGAATCACCTCGGGAACCCACCGTTTCCGGATTACGAGAGAGTTTCGAGACACCCTGTAGATCGCGGCGAGATCCCGACGGCCGATCTGGATCTCGATCGACGCACAGCCGACGCGAAGAGGAATCGCGACGGTGTTCTGTCGCCGATCGGATTAGAAAATCGAGGGGAGGGTCGAGGCGCGGGTGTCACGGGGGTCGTTGGAAATTGCTCGGAGACGTCGCGACAGCCTACTGCCAAAGGTGACGGAGAACGGAGAACGGAGAACGGACTGGTACCACGTCGGGCTCGGATCGTCGGATGATCTACGAGGTTCTCTTTCCGAGCCTATTTCATCGGGATCGTTCGCCGATTCGTATCCAGCGGCTCGCCGTTGGGCGTCGCGACGCCCGACGATCCTCGTCGCTGCGACGACGTCGATGCGGTGTTCGTCGGCACCGTCGTCGTCTTCTCTGTGCCCGTCGCCGTCGTCGTCGATCTCTTCTGTGGAAAAGAAACACGGAAGATCCTCGGATCATTGTTCTGTGCGGCTGCATTGTTCTCTATGGAAATTTATTGTACAGTGGACAAAGGAAAGCCTCGGATCTTCGACTTGGCGGGACTTCGTTGTCTTGGGAATTGATTGGACCGTGGGCGATTAAATTATTACGAACGTCCAGGAGTGAAACCACCGAATGACGCTAACACATCGATTGCCGCGACAATCGACGTTTCGTAAAATCAAAGCACTTTATTCGACAAGTTCCGTGTGCCAAGTCGTTCCCGTTCGACTTTTCATTCGGTCATTTGATGTTTTCTTTTGGCCATCGTGTACACGACGATTGAACAAGCTTGTTTGCTTTGTTTTATATTGTATTTTTCTACGATACCTCGTTATTTTGACGGCGATAGATTCTTTAATGGCACGGAACGCGTCGATCGAACTAAAATTGAGAAGTTAAATTTCTGCGAGGTAAATTATTTCCTCAATATTTTTATGTCTTGAACATCTCAATAAAAATAGGGACGTGTAACAGAATGTCAAAGTGTTAAAGATATGCTTGCAGTGCTTTCGTGTTGTTAAGTTTTTTATGACAGCTGGCAACGAGCTTGAACTGTTTCCGTATTGTGATACCTTTTTGGGACACTCTGTACAGCTCGATAAATTTTTGCAACAAATTTTGTGGAAATTCAAACGAAGGAAAAATTCTTTTTCGACGACTTGTTTTAAAGCGTGAGGCTATTACTGCAACCTAGTAATTCCAAAAATGTTAATTTAGAAAATAAAAGAGTTATTTTAGTAGTTGCGCGGTAAACCAGTCCCTCTAACGTCACCAAAACATTCGAGTCGTTTGGTCCAGTTTGAACAAAGTCGTTGCATCTTAAAAAGCGTTCGGATACCGTTTACCACAGGAATAGTATAATTACCTCAAAGTATTTCTGCGGTGACATTATCAGATCATCCCATAATCGACAAGATTTTCCTTGAACTCGATCGATAAAGAAATACTTGCGACGAAGAAGGGTGCTACAGAGAAGCTTGTAGAGCCGCCATTTTGTCCGACAAAAATTACAAAAAAATACCGTTCGACTCACGAAGGTCGGAGCAACGAACGCGAAGCAAATAGTTCCCGAATCGGGCGTCGCTCTTCCGATGAGAAAATTCCGGAAGGCGGCTATAATTTGCAGTCGTCGATGGAATTGGCGCGAGCCGGGCGGATCATCGCGGGATTAACGAGTGTTGACCTTTCCGGTAGGGTCGGAGGGTGTGCAGCGATGCCGGGCGCGGTATTTAAGAGCGAGCGGGGACGCGAAACAGCTGGTGCAGCTCGAAAGACACTCGAATTGGAAGTAATCCTTGGGCATCGCGGCGGGGCCTTTACGTGCCGCAATTTCCGGGATCCGTTGACGAGGACGTGCCCGGACTCGGTCTGGTCGCCGTCGACCAGCACACCGGAAGTGACCGATGGTTTCCTTCCGGCGCGGCTCGGGGCTTACGTGATCCTTGGTCTGATTGCGAAAGTTCGCCGGGCCGCGGGCGTGCCGAACATAAAACTCTCCTTCCGCCGCGTCGCGTCGCGTCGCGTCTCGCCGCGCCGCGCCGCGCCTCGCGCTCTTCCTTTTCCGATCGCGTGCGGAAACGGCTCGGGATACTCGAGACCGGACGACTTGCCCCGCGAGTTATTGGAATCCTCGACTATCAGAAACAAATTGCAGCTGTCCGTTATACGGAATCGATGCTTAGAAGACTGACCCGAGATTCGTTGACACCGTTACCAGAATTTCTAATCGTATTAACGCAATACTGGCCGGGCTGTTCGTGCGAAAACTTTTGCGAGCAGGGGTTCTTAAAAACAGCGATTCTTGTTTCTCAAAAGAAAATTAAAGTTTGAACTGCATATATTAAGTTGTTTTTTTTTATTATTAAGTTTTGTGACTATTTGTAGTTCTTCGGCATTTCACGAGCGATCAAGAAAATTGACTATTTTTCATTTCAATCGTATTCCGCGTTTCACGAGCCGTCAAGAAAATTACTGCTTTTAGTCATTCGGACGGCAATTTGTCGATTCGGTAACCGTCGGTAAACGTTACTGCGAACAAGTACAGTCAATTCTCCCCAATTTTCCTTCAGCTTGTAAACCAAAATGGACGATTTAGGATGAGATGGTACGATTATTCGAATCTTACGACACGTTTTTATAGTTGCCGATTGTCAACAATTATAAGAACGAGCTGCAAGGCTCGGATAATCGTGTTCTTCCCAAATCGTCCAATTTGTTTATAAGCCGAAGAACAATTGGGGAGAATTTACTGCACTTCAATCGGGCGTTTCGTTATTCTCGTTTTATACGTTCGATTGTTACTTTTTTATACATTTAAATTGAACAATAGGACTTCGTATAACTTGTTTAATAAATAAGTAAAATAAATAACGTCGTTGATTATCAATTCTACGAAATCGGTTTCCCCTTTCTGGATAATTTCTGATATTTTTCCCCGTTTTCCCACTGAATTTTATTTAATCTCGCTTGAATTCTGTGCAATTGAGGGGAACACGCGAATCAAATTTTTAATATCATTTTCCACGCCTCGCGACGATATTTCGACGCATGATAAATTTGTCTTGTTTTTACTAAACGGTGGTATTTTATGCATCGATGCCGCGTGGATGCGTTTGAGCAATTATAAATGTACAATGAATTTTTTGCCTGCAAATTGATGTCGAATCAAAAGGTTTCACCGTCAAATATCGCGTCGGAACGGAAATAAAATACCGGCGTTGTTGAATTCTTTCACATTTTTTTATGAAATCCGCTGTCTAATTGCGAAGCTCTATCGACGAGTGTAGGCAATCGATTCTCAAAATCACCGATGTAAGCTATATCGTGAACAAGCGCTCGGATCAGAAATTCGTTATTCTAGTTTTGTATGCGCGATTGTTGTTTTCTTATCCGTTTATTTCGTACAATAGGGCCCTCCGATAAACAAATAAGTAAACAAAAATTGAGCGACGCTCGCGATTATTCCCTCCTCGTTTCATTTTCCCACCGTGATCGTCAAGTCCGCTCGATCCTCGCGCCGATTCTCGAGATCCGATTTGGCTCTGATCGATGAGCCTTTCTTTCCCTATCGAATAATTTGATCGTGCGAAAGCCTGCGAGGTAATCGGACGTCGAGTTTCAACAGGACAAACGGTGGATTATCGGAAAGTTTAACCCGAACTGGGAGCGAAATAAGTAGAATTTTTTACGAGGAAAGAAGTACAGGTTGTATTTTGGCCAAGATAATATCAAATTCGAGTCGTCGTTTTCAATCGAATATCCTGTCTATTTTTGGGGATGGAACATTTCTTATTAAGTTCGATTTAAACTTTGTAAAATCATCCATTCGATTTGGATCGGTCATTGTATTTTAAGCCTTAACTGCGGACACGGCAGAGCTTCGCAATTAGTCAGCGGATTTGATAAAAAAAATGTAAAAGAATTCAACAACGCCGGTATTTTATTTTCGTTCCGACGCGATATTCGACGGTGGTCCCTTTTTGATTCGACATCAATTTGCAGGCAAAAAATTCATTGTACATTCGTAATTGCTCAAACGCATCCACGCGGCATCGATGCATAAAATACCACCGTTTAGTAAAAACAAGACAAATTTATCATGCGTCGAAATATCGTCGCGAGGCGTGGAAAATGATATTAAAAATTTGATTCGCGTGTTCCGTTCATTGGCTTGGCCGCCTCGCGCCAGCCGATCTCGCCTCTTATTGGTCAGCGTTTTTCGTTAATAACTCGTAAACAAAGCCGCGGATTGCATTTTCGTTAAGAAGAAAGTTACTTCAAATAACCTCAGAAATCCCTCATTTCTCGGAAATACCATAATTTTGGGACACCCTGTAAACTTAGTTTTATTGTACCACAGCGTTATTTACCATACAGTCCACTATTCATCCTTTCGACGCCGCTAGAGCCGCCAACGACAGAACACTCCACACATTTGACATTCTAAGAAAATAAAAAGGAATCCATTTTTTGCAACCGTTAGGGTGGCGCCCTCCCTTATGGGTTAAGCGCGCGATCGAGAGACAACGGATCGTTCAATTTCCTCCGTTCTCGGCGCGCTCGAATACGAATTAAAACCACGCTGTTCGACGATCGTGTCCTGGAATCGAGGGGAATTTCAGGGACTTCCGGTCTGTTTACCCGCCACTCCCGAACCGGAGAGAACTAATTTGAGAGCCAAGACCCGACGTTACTCGAAACCCTCTCCTTAAAGTCCGGGTAACTAAAGTTTAAGGGACCGGGGCCTGGTAAAAGTCTCCTCGAAGTAGACGCTCGAGGGTCGCGGTGATAAAGACAAACGATCCACAATGGATCAATTTGGAACGGGGACGTGCGGAGACAAATGATCCGGAGGGAAGCATTCTTCCGGCTATGTTCACCGTGTACCATGGGAAATAGTCTGTAGGAAAGAAAACGGGGAGAAACCGTGTTGTTTTGTACAGTTCGCATTTTTAGATGAGAGATATTCCTTGTAAGTGATACGGGTCGGCCATTAGTCAGACTTGACGCAGAAGAGCGATTGCGATGAGTCGACTAGATAAAATTATTAGGAGAGACAGGGTGAAATGTAATACACTTGTTAAACATGTGATCCAACGCTTCGATAAGTCAAATTTATCGAAAGGGATTTATTAAAATTAATCCAGTAAAATTGATACGATGCTCTCTCGTGTGGAACTGTACGTTATTCGATAAATTTCATTTCGAAATCGTTTCAGTGTGATTTACTAAAATCGAACTTTTATTTAACAACTGTTCTGTTGCGGAAGCTTTTATTTCGTATTCGGTATTCCTATTTTATTTGTTTGGTCGTTGGTTGACATCGTACCACTTACAAATTCGAGTTGCCACTGTACAAAATTCAACGGGCTCTACGGCGTTTACAAAATTTTCTCCGGGTTCGTCTCAGCATAACCCTGTAAAGAGAAGTTTTCCCTTTAT